TGCTCGAAAAAGTTTTCCATCTCATTTCCTGAACTTCTTCTTTCACACGCCCACCTGGGAGGTTTAATACCGTAACAGGATGGGAGTGGCTGTGGACGAGGGAGCGCAGCCTATCAAGGTAATCCTTTTCTTTTCCTTTTTTTCGTTCCATCTTATAGAACTCACTCATAAGATCTTTCCTGGTCATTGCTTCCGTTGGTTTTCGCCTGATATTATATCCTCTTTGGATGAGAATAGATCCTCTGTGTATATTGTTGAGGCTCCTCTCGGAGTAGTTCTGTGCGTCGACGAAGCTAGCCGACCAATGAAACTTTTTCGAAGTTAATCTGTTCTGTTCCAAGGAATGCCTTTTTAGATTTGTGAGCTTAGGGCTGCAATGTGGGGAAGACGGGATTTCCCAGTTCCATTTTTCTGTTCCCTATTAGGCGGTTTTCCTACAAGTAACCTTGTCCGTGGCCTGAATCCCTCCTATACTGCATCTACTCACTTCGCTTGAGTGTTAGGCTCAACGTGAGTCAGTTATTGCTCACTCAACGCTACCGCAATCGTTGACGTCTTACTAGAAATATGGCATCGTGTTCGATTATGGGGTTGGGTCAGGGTGGCACGGGCAAAGTACTCCTGGAATGAAAAGCCTAATTGAAATTACTGTTCAACTTTGGTTCTGATACATCAACCAGAAATCGCTCCTCGTGGCAACATGGAAGGGGGGCTTGACATTTATGGTTATTGTTGCCTTTGCTGCCTTGCTGGTATACTTCTCTTCCCCGAACTCTCCGTGACAGCACCTCATATGTACCCCCTGAACGTTTCCAGCAATGTATGTCGTAATTTGCACGGGAATCACTTCAGCCGTTGACATGAATGTCGCTTCGTTGATGTAGGCTTTCTTTGTGGTTCATGCCGTCCCACCAAATGGTTGACAGCCATCCGTGACAACGACTGATGAGTGAGGCGGTTGCCTGAAGCTGCTTGAACTAAAGTTGATCGGACCCCTAGTTTGTTAATATCCCCTGCCTGAAACGCGAAACCCATATCAGCGCCGCTTAGCCCTCTGACGGTTTATCGTGTTCATGGGTCTATAGTGAAATCGACCGTTCCACCTCCTCTAAACAAGCGAAACACAGTTACTTTCATACGACTGGATTCTCCTCACAAAACGACCGCTCATACTTCCCAGGAGATTACGAATGCTAGTGAGCGAAAAAAACGCTGCAGGGGAAGCGGCATTCTTATGTTTCATACGCAGCTTTGGCCCCTCATTCTGTAGCCCCCAAACTCGAGTGTACTCGGGAAGCCCAAAGGTGTGAAGGGCATCTTAAATCATGACCAAGGGGGAACTGGACAAAGAACACACTCGCGGGTTTTCCATGAATAGTGTCTAAGATAAAAAAAGTTACCATTACCATGAGCAAAGAACTGACGTGTGGGCAATGTGAGGGTTCGAGCGTAATGTCAACGCCATCTTTCTTAGCTATTTCTCTGTGGCCATTCCACTTCGATTACTTCTGCACGCTCCTCTGTTTTATGTTCTTAGCGAGCATAACACCAAAAGTGGTGATTATACAGGCTTATAACCTGTCTAATAAGTGTTTGGACATCGGGTTCGGGTTTCCCTCCTTAGAAAGTACCCCCACGGCCGAGCTTTGGGACCTGTTTGTCATGAATAGCCAGTTCGTTTCGAGGTTAGCTTTGTAGCACTGAGTAAGAATTACTGCCCGAATGAAAAGTTAATCAAAACTATCGTATGCGCGTTGTGATTACCTCGATACGATTAAGTCTGATTGCAACTTGTCATCGCCAGTAATTCTTGCATCAGCCATCGCAAAACTTGTTTTATGGCAACTTGCGGAGGCGTGAGGGGGGGGGGAGGTGGGGTGCGCACTTAATATTTCGTGCACATTTGTTGCGCTTGGCTGCCTTGGTCATGAGAAGTTGTGGGAAGGGCTGCCAGTTCCTTGTTGATAAAAGCCGCTTTTGAGCGATTTGACAATTCAGAACGCGTCCTTGTTCAGTGCTGAGAAGGCGCATTAGAAACGGGAATTTAAACGGGGTCACGCTTCGTGGATGGTTGCGCTGAGATTATGGCGAGGCCAGCGCGTCTACGATAGTCGTCCCGTTCATACCTCAGTGGCATATTCTTGCAGTATTTGGGGTTTTTCTAATTTTTTTAGCGACTTTTTCGGCTTAATGGTTACGGAGTGGAGTTTTCGAGTTATTCAGCTCCTTCCGATGCTCTGCTCCTGCCATCTTGAAGAATAATCTTTGAAGATGTCAAGCGTGTGCAGTCGTTGGATAGAAAACGTTTGTTGGGCTAGAGTGGTTTTGGAAAGCCCTAATTACTACTTAAATCAGAAATGGAGTTTCACTAGGTCTTCTTGCAACGTTTTTGAACCCAGTTAGTCACCTCTGAGTTATGTAATGTCCCGACGGTTTTCTCATTGTCAGAGGATTAGGGATTCGGCCCGCTTCCAGTATAATGGTACTACTGGTTACCTAGCAAGTAAATGGCTTTATACTGTTCCTGGTTGTTTGTGATACAGCCTCTGTCTCCTGGAAAGTATTCTGAACCGAGGTTAGAGATGGTTTTCTGTTTAAACACGAGTTAGCATCTGATCGGGAAGCTGCTCATCCGTCATTTCTTACGTTTTTTCCTTATTTTTCTTTTTCTAAACTTTAAACTTTGTTTATGATGATTGGCCTGGAAGCAACACAAATGACAAATTTCATCGATTGGGTCAAACGGTAACTCTTTCCATTATGCACGCATCGAGGTGGTGAGGGGGGAGGGGGGACATGAAGGTTCATCCTGCTCACGGAGCACATCATAAAAGTTCAAGCGGCGGAGTAAAACGATTGCGTTCATTCGGGTCTCCCGATTCCAATCACGGTACTGCGCCGGGGATCTTCGAGGGAGGGGGGGGGTGGTATTTGGTTTGACAAATTTCTCCTGTTTTGCGGGCGCTAGTCACACCGTAGGGAAAAATTTAATTGGAAGAGGGTCGTATTTGCCTTTGAGAGATTACGAAAAATTCTTGGTTGTTAATTTTTCACGAAGTTTTGCAGCAAACTTTTGGGGAAAACTGGGAAAACTGTCTAAAAAGTAGTAGGAAGGGAGGAAAGATAGGTAGTTGGGGAAATCTACGAAACTGGAAAAGTGGTAGGTAGGTTGGGGGTCGTATCAGAGAATGAAAGCGAGGAGGTCGTAATTTCCAGAAATTTTCTCCAGCCAAAGGACGTGCTCTCTCCAGTGTATTCACAACTCGTCAAGCCTTCCTGCTTCAATCCGTCAGGCCATGCGACTCACCAAGACAATGAGGTCAATGAGCGGAAAATTCCCCCCCCCCAACGGCAATCTCCAGAAAAGCCTACGTGCGAGTGAATCAGCGCCTGAAATTCTTCAACGGATTCGGGCGTTTTGAATCTTCGCGAGGCTGTGAACGCGTTAGGCGGTGGGCTCGTTCGCTCTTATTTGCTAAAAGAAATGTCGCGAAATATTTTACTTCTGGGTTTTCTAATGCAATCACCGTCTGTGACTTGAACTTCCATGGTGGTGTAATCAGCGAAAGTGCTATCTTTTCCCCCCTCCCCCTGAAATTTTAAACGTATTGCAGTGCTGACGTCCTAAATTACATGGTCTTTTTCTGGCCTTACACGTCTTCAAGTGCGCCATAACTCATGCTGCTATCACTCAATTATTTCAGCAACTTGAGCCGCCAGTCTGACGCCATTTGCGCCAAAGGATGAGCGAGGAATGCATGAATAGATTAAAAAGGGGCTAGGAAAAAGTTGAATAAAATTCTCGCTTGGCGCCAGAAGAATGATCACTTTGCCTTACGATTCTCAATGCCTGGCTTTCTGTTCTGCGTCGTGGAGTCGTAATGAGTGAATTTGAGTAGGAGCAACGGGTCGAGTCTCGAGCTTCAAGCAGGTCATTCAAGCTTGGAGGGAGGATTGTCATGTGTGCTGGCGGTGACTAGGCGTTTTTCGGTGTTTATTGGTTGTTAGTTCAGCCAACCGCAGCTGCTGTCACCCACTTATCAGTCACTCACAACTGTTTGACTTTTTCGGTGGCTTGTGTCATTGGATGGCAGTGGGGACGATTCCAGCGCGCCTAGAATCGACGTCAATGGTCTAGGCGTTCGTCCTATTGTGGCACATCAGCCCAGAGCGGAAAAGTGCTAAGCCTACTGAAGAGCCATTGCAAGACAAGTTAAAGTGTCTGGAATGACGTGTATGGCATGAAATTTAAAAATTCGTGTTATCGGCGCATCATGTGCTTCAACGGGTGTTTAGAATGACTTCGGTAGTAACCATATGGTAACTGAGATTGAGTGGAACTATACTGGACTTGCTTTGAGGTAGATACGGAAAACTCCAACATACTCCTCCCCCCAACATGACCCATCAGATATTGTAGAATTGTGACGTCGAGGTCAAGGGAAAAGAGAGCTTGAATTGCATCTCAAGCAGCAAAGAAGCACTGAAAAACGTTCTCCCAGACACCCAAAAGCTTTGTATCTTCCTCCTCCCTTGCTGATAATTCTTAGAGCCCAATGTGCCCCAACTGTACTGGAGGTATACTCAAAACTCCTGGAATATTATTAGGCCTTGCTGCGTACTTCAACAAAATGGTGGTGGTGCCTGTGCTTTTGCGAGAGATTTTCATTTTAACACATTTTGGTCGTGTGTGTGAAAATGGCATTTGTCTCAAACTGAAATATCCTAAGAGTTGGGCTATCCTCAAATGCCACGCCTACTCCGTCTCGGGAATGAGGAGTGTAGCCATCTCGTGTAGGTCTTTTTAGTACCGTGCGTTTCCTACTTCTTACACTGAAAAGCTGATCATGCCTTTACAATTATTGAAACTGTGGAAAAGTTCATATCAAGTGATGCAAATTTCTTGACTGAAAACGGCTATTTGTCAGGGTAACAAAATTTCAGTAAAAACAATGGACCATCTCACAATCAATGACTATTCTTTCTGTTCTCGTTTTTTCCTGTACGAGTGCAACCTTCACATCTGGTTTCAGGCTGACACTCTGGCCGAGATTGACATAAGCGAAGTACGAAAATGTGGAGAAAAAGCGGATGCGAGGCAGTTCGAATTGCTCAAGGTAAGTAAAGCTATTGTTTGAGAGGGATTGTTGTTTTGTTTTTAACTTTCAAGAGGGTCACGTCATTCACAGCACAAATTATTGGGTCCAGTATAAGTAACATGTATCACTGTCAGGGCACACTATCGTGATATGAGAAGTTTTTGTCAAGTGCGTGTCCTATTTTTTTCTTGGACACGGATGCCACCAATAAGACCCTGAAAAATTCGTCCAAGGAAGGGCGAGAAATGATAGTAAGGAATTACCATCCTATATGTAAGACAGCAGGGGTCCATATCCGGTCACTGGAGAGGGAGTGAAGAGTTCTCATGAGGAGAAACCTTCCGAAAAAAAGGAAATCTTGTGATTGCTGGTTTTCTCTTTTCCACGCGCGCTATATCCACATTTCGCCTCTGGGCGCCGCAAAACCACTATTTTTTGTGAGTAATTGATCGGAAGCGTCTCCCTTTTCTACGCTTGACGGCAAAATTTCGGAGAGCAGGTAGGAGGGGAAAGGGTCATATCAGAGTAGGAAGCTTGGGAGTGGGGAGTCAGCAATATTTTGCAAAAGTTTTCCACTACGTGATATGTGCCTTGATATCCGTACCTCACCCTGTGCTAGAGAATTTTCACCACCTCTTATAATTTTTACAGATCTGTTCCTCTGTTCCCTATATTGCGAACAGTGAAATTACCTAATGTTTTTTAGGTACTCGGCCAAGGCTCGTTTGGGAAAGTGTTTCTCGTGAGGAAAATCCGCGGACGTGACACCGGGCACATCTATGCGATGAAGGTGTGTAAATTGTCAACTTCGTCAAATGACGTCATTATTATTTTCGTCAAGATGCTTGTACTGGACCCTACAACCACCGTTTTTCGTTCCTTTTGAGATGTGTCCAAAGAGAAGTTCTTCTCAGTCAGAGCGAGGTCTTCTCTCTCTTGAAGTTTCTGAGCCACTTTTATCGGATCACATTATATTCTCCTCTAACCTCAACCCCGCTTCCCCACAGATCTGACGTCACTGCATGCTTGAAAGCAATGTGTGTCCACAGTACTGCTATATTGTTTATGCAGCTGGTCTCTGCCGTGGGTGGGGACAAGCGTGGAACGCTACGCACACGTAAGGGATTGAACTAGGTGCTGATGGGAAAGCGCCCAATTAGATGGGTCAGAAAAGGAATTTTGGGTAGTCCAAGATCATTTTATTATTCCCAGGGTTGTTTGTTGTTGATGGCCACTTGTCTGACCTTCCAGAGAAGTCTGGGAGTAGTGTGGGACAAAAGAGTTCGAGCAGTGTCGAAGGGGACCAAACGATTGCGGGGGAGTAGTGGGAGTGAGTAAGTTTTTCCAGTAGCGAGTGGTTCACTCGTGGTCGTGGG